AGGTGGCCTGCTGCACTCCGGCAAAAAATAGGTGTTTAATCACTTCCACGTGCATCTTCCGGGTTCCCAGCCCAAGAGCAACTCCTAAAGTCGGGAATGGAGCTTTTTACTATTTTTTTTAGTTTCCCTCGTCTGTCCCATGGCTGATAATCAGTCAAAAATATCGATTACTCGTTGTCTAAACTTCTAAACTCTTTACCCCTGATTGTCCTGTCTTACAATCTGTTCAATTCCGCGAGTTTTCGGATCCTTGAGAGGAGCAAGTCACAACTAGAGAAATTCTCCATATCTCCCCCCCCCCCACCCCCCTGCAGAATAAGTCAAGATTTCTTCCTCAAACTTGGCGGACGTGGCGGGAGCTGGTCCCCAGAGAGGAGGAGGCTGGGGGCCCCGAGGAGGAGACCGTGGAGGACCTGCTGGGCCTGGTCTGCAGCCCCCAGTCGCCCTGGGCTCTGCTGGAAGGCTCCAGTGCTGAGGACCTGTTCCTGAGGCAGCTGGCCATCCGGAACCCCCACATGCTCCAAGAGGACTTCCTGTACTCCTACTTCAGGTCCCTCCAGGTGGTGGACAAAGAGGTGAGTGCTGGCAGCTGGCACCTGCACGCTGGCAGACAGAGGGGACAGAGGGGACGCCAGGAGACCACCCTCCTTCCAGCACCTAGTGATAAGACGGGGTGTGAAGTGTGTGGGGGTGGGGATGGGGATAGCTCTGCCCTCCTAATTAATCTCACTGGCTGGCCCACCCCGCAGAGCCAGCTGCTCCCCTGGTCTGTGCTGTATGCCTTCTTCCTTCACCCGGCTGAAGTCCACTGTGGGTCTTAGCTGATTTCCGGAGCGCCCTGCAGTCCACCCTTCTGGGTCCTAGTAGAAACCTTCCAAGTGTTTATATTGGTTTTACTTCATTTCAGGTGTGGGGCCCAGGGTCAGGGGAGGGGCATAGTACTATAGTAATTCCTGTCTCTAAAAAGCCTTCTTTGCTTATATCGATAACCGAGCCCGAAGCTTGCATGGCTACACAGCCCAGGACTCCCCGTCTGCTCCTCCTTCCCTAGAGAAACTGAATGACACAGTGCTTGGGGGATGAGGAGGGAGAGCAACCTGTTTGCCTGGGACGCCCAGTGTTAACGCAGAAATTTTCATGTCCCTGGAACCCCTCGCTCCTAGGCAAGCTGGCATGGTCAGTCACCCCAGAGAAGAGGCCTAGCCAGGAAGGTCCCCTGGTGTCTGAGGCCACAGGGAGCTGAGGACTCGGGCAGGCTCTGCAGCTCTCACCCTGCTGTGGGAACACCAGTGACTTCTAAAGACCTTAGGGTTCACCGTGGCTCCAGGGTGCACAGCAAGGATGGACTTCCTGCCCTCAGAGCTTACCGTCCAACAGGGGACACAGGACACTGAGCCGGACACTGTAGGCATCCACAGTCAGAGGAGGGGTGAGGGTGGAAGAGGTGAGGGTCCCCACCACGCCGGACACGCCCGCATCCTGGCAGACGAGGCAGGATAGGCTCTAGGAGCAGAAGGGTGGGTGCTGGGCGGGGGCTCTGTGCAGCTGGTTAAGTGGTGCCATCCTCACATCCACAGGTTTCTGCTCCAGCTGAGCTCTTAGCTTCCTTCCCTTCCTTCCCAGGTGAGCCTGGTGGATAAAGACCTCCTGAAATTCCCAAAGCTTGAAGAGTTGGTACTGAGTGCCAATCAAATCAAGGAGATCGATGCCTTCAATCTGCCACCAACTCTCAAGGTAAAGCAGCCTGCCCCTGCCCTGCCCCTGCCCCAGCCCTGCCCCATACACAAAAGTCTTGGCACTGTGGCTTTTCTGAGGTGCCTCAGATTCCTCAAAAGTGTAATTTCCATAGATGCAGCAATTCCCTTCCTAGGTGTGGGCTGAAAGATTTGAAGGCAGGGACTCAGATTCTTCTTCCTCTTCCTCTTCCCCTTCCTCTCCTCCTTCCTCCCCCTCCTCCGCCCCCTCCTCTTCCTCCTTTTTTTTTTTTTTTTTTTTTTTGGTTAATCTTCACCCCAGGATATTTTTCCATTGATTTTTAGAAAGAGTGAAAGGGAGAGGAAGAGACAGAGAGAAACATCAATTGGTTGCCTCCTGTACATACCCAACCAGGACTGGGGAACCTGCAACCAAGGTACATGCCCTTGACCGGAATCAAACCCAGGACCCTTCAGTCCGTGGGCCAACGCTCTATCCACTGAGCCAAACCGGCTAGGGCTCAGATTCTTGTTCGCCAATGTTCTTAGCAGCATCGTTCATGAGAGCCAAAGGGTGGAGACCACCCCAGTGTGTCAGCAGGTGGGTGGGTAAACACAGTGTGGCTTCTCCCTCCACTGGAATATTATTCAGTCATAAAAAGGAGTGACCCTGGCCAAGGAGGAAACTTAAACATTATGCTGAATGACAAAGGCTAGACACAAAAGGCCACATGTTAGATGATTCTACCTCCATGATATAGAAGAGACGAATCCATAGACAGAAAGCACATGAGAGGTTACCAGGGGCAGCGGGGGTGAGGGGTGGGGGAGTGGAGGGTGGAGGGGTGGGGCAATGGGGAGTTGTAGCTTAATGGGCACAGAGCTTCTGTTTGGGGTGATGAAAACATTTGGAAATAGATAGTAATGATGGTTGTACAACAATGTGAATGTACTTAATGCCACTGAATTTTATGGTTAAAATGGCAAATTACGTTAAATATATTTTACCACAATAAGATCGTTTAAAAAGGAAGGGAGGCTAGGCTTTATCGTGACTCTTAAGCTCAGCATATCAAAATGGTCTCAATTTGATCTTATTTTAATTTAAATTTTACTTTTCAATTACAGTTTACCTTCAATATTTTGTATTAGTTTCAGGTGTACAACATAGTGGTTAATCATATACTTTACAAAGTGGTCCCCCTGATATTTCCAGTGCCCACCTGGCAGCATACTTAGTTATTACAATATTATTATCTTCCTTATGTGGTGATTATTTTGTTACTACCAATTTGTATTTTTTAATTCCTTCAAAAATGGTCTCAATTTTTTAAAAAATTATTATTTTAAATTATGTTTTCACTGATTTCAGAGAAGGAAGGGAGAGAGAGATAGAAACATCAGTGATG